GTTGTGTTTTTTTTCATACATTCAACCTCTAATTGTGATGACAGCTCTGCAAGGTGGTCATTATGATGACCATTTTGTAGAGGAGAACATAAGGGTCAATAAAGCAGCACAGTTTACCCGAGATCACATGAGCGGTAAGGGAATAATATGTCTCACTTCAAAGCTTAGTCTTTCATTACTCCAGACTGTGGATGTTTTCACTTCTTCAAAGTGAAATTAAACCCAGAAAAGTTCACAAAACCAATATAAAGAGTTCAGTGATTAATCTCAAGGCAGTGTCCACATAATGACCATCCAAGTAACAGACACTATACGTATACAGAACACACTTCATGACCCCTTGCATCCACTGCCCTTTCCCTCTCTCCTGTTGACAAATACAAAAACTATCCTGGCCTATACAGGGAAGGTTTTTTTTTTGTTTTGTTTTTTTTGTTGTTTGTCTTAATACTTGCCTGCTTAATTAGCAGTACCACAGTTTAGATTTACTTGATTTTTCTTTTTTTTAAATAGTTGGAATCATATGTTACTTATTTTTATATGTACTTTTTTCACCCAACATATTTTTGAGATTCATCTACAAGGCCACATGTAGCTCTACTTTTTCATTCTCATGACTACATAGCCGGGGTCATTGTGATTTTACTACATACAAAATCAAAACACTATGCAACCAAGTGTTTGTGTAAATGTAGAACAACTAGAATTCTTATATTTTGCTGATGGAAACGTTAAGCGGCATGACAGCATTAGAATACTTTTGTAGTTTATAGTAAAAGTTAAGAATATGCTTATCCTCTGACAAAGAATAATAACTATATGTCTACAAAGAGATTTACACAAGAATATTCATAGCACCTTTATTCATAATAGCCCTAAACTAGAATCAACCATCTATATCAATACGAGAATGTAGAATTTGTAAACAAATCATGGTATGTATATTTATACAATAAAATGCTATATAATAATGTTAAAAGAAGAACTACTGATAATATGTAGAAACATATAAGAGGTTCAAAATTATGTTGAGCTAAAGAGGCCAGACTCAAGAATAGCATACTGTGAGATTCCAGTTAAATGGAGGTAAAAATGGACAAAACTGATGTATGGTTCTACAAGTCAGATGGTGTCTACCCCTGGATGTGTGAGGAGGTGGTGTTGGCTAGCAATGTCCATCACAGAAGCTTTTTGGAGTGATAGAAATGTTCTGTAACTTGTGAGGGGTCCTAGTTATGTAACCCATTGCTTGTCAAGTCAGTCCTGACTCACAGTGACCCCATAGGACAGAGCAGAATGGTCCCCAAGGGTTCTCAAGGCTGTAAATCTTTATGGAAGCAGACAACTAGATCTTTCTTCCACAGAGCAGCTGGCAGGTTCAATCCACTGACCTTTCTATTAGCAGCTGAGTGATTTAACCATTATGCCACCAGGGCTCCTTAAAATTCATCAAGCTGTACACTGAAGATCAATGCATTTTGTTGTATGTAAACCGGGCCTCAATGGCATCCTCAATTTCTAAGACATCTCTTGGTGATTAATTTAGTGTTATTTGTCTGAAATTTTCAATTTAAATCCATATGCCAGACGTGGCACTTTTGGATTGGTGTTGTTGCTTTAAGCCTTAGTTAAGTTTTATCTGTAAATATTGAAAGGAAAAAACAACCCCAGCGCCGCTCATCAAGCACACCTCACACCAGATGGCCCATCCAGAGACCTTTATTCAGGGTGAGGAAAGTAACCTCTGCCAGAGAGAAGGCAGGGAGGCGGGTGGGAGGGGAGGAAGAAGAAGAAGAATAGCAGAGAGAGAAGAGGGCAGAAATAAGAGGAAGAGGAAAAGAGAGAGTCAACAGGAAGGGAGGGGACTTATATAGGTTCAACAGGAAGGGAGTGGTCATTGCTGGGGTGATTTAGCTCTGGCCTATCAAAAGCCACGTTGTCCTTTAAATTACGCACCTTGTAGTTCAGGGTGGAGAAACAGACAAAATGGAGTTGGAGGGAGGGGAGAGGGAAGAACCGGAAGGTATTGTAACAAATATCATAGAGAAAGCATGGAGCAACTACGGAAAGGAAGACACATCTGTTTTATTCAGGTCTGTTGTGAATTTAATGTGTCTCAGAGGCAATATCTGTCTTCTATTCTACTAATAAAATAGCCTAATTTCTTAAATTCAGATTCTAGTAAGGAATTCTCTGTTTGTCCTCTTTTCCTCTTCCTTAGTAATAATGATTCAGCCTCTAGTTACTATTACTCATAGTCCAACTTGAAATCTAAGCCAATACTGTCGGTCCATATTTATTGAAAGCACACCATATACAAGGCAATGATAGTAGTAGTAATGATAAAAATGTTATTGTTGTTGTTAAGGGCCATTGAGTCAGTTCTGATTCATAGAGACTCTGTATTTCCCAGGCACAACTGATGGGTTTCAACTCCCAAATTTGTGGTTAACAGTTCAGTGTTTATCCTACAGTGCCACAAAACATTTTCAGTACTAATTCTATGTTAAGTACTATCTGAAGCATTTTATATGCAACATCTCATTTAATCACCACAACAACCCTGTGAGGCATTACAAGATGTTAGTGTAAGATCGCCATTTCTTTGTGAAGAAAAAAGATGTAGAATTTCTGTTATCCCAAGCAATTCATCACTGGCCCAGTTTACAAATCCCACCTTAGCAAAATAAGGATAGACAACTGAATTCACTCTCCTTAGAAGATAGTTGAGAGACAATCTGTTGTAACAAAATCTACCTACTGGATATCTCACAACCCCACAACCCATCCCCACACAACATACTCTTTGGATAAGTACGACTTTTTTACTTGTTTGTAAATGGCACCCTTTTAAATTTGCATCCATGGTAAATGTCAGTTGTTCTCACCATCATGTTCAGTTTTGAGGTGCATGATGTTTAATCCCTGTTTTACTGGTGCAGATTTATGGAAAAGAAAATAAACAAAAACTCTGCCATTAAGTTCATTCCTACTCATAGTGACCCTATAGACAGAGTAGAATTGCTCCTTTGGGTTTCTGAAACGACATTTTTATGGGTGCAGACAGTCTCATCTTTGTCCTACAGAGCAGCTGGTGGTTC